CTTTCCCTCTGTTTCCCCTGACCTTGTACTCAGTGGTACTTGATGATCTCTGTAACTCGGTGCAGGAAAAGATGGTCTTTCCTCCTCTCCTGTTCCAGCTCTTTGCCAGGCGGCCATTCATTGCTTGTCTCGTTGTTTTGTAGCTTTGACCCAAAGAGAGCAGTGCAGCAGCTCAGAGCGTGCGGGGTGCTGGAGACGATCCGGATCAGCGCGGCGGGCTACCCGTCCAGGTACGTGCCCACCAGCCACGCCCTCCAGGTGCAGCCCGGGGAACGCTCCTGTGTGCCGTCAGCCGGAAGGAGATCCTCAAAAATGTTCCCAAACGCTGAGGGCCCAAGTGGGATGCTGATGGAACTGAGAATTTCAGTTTGGCCTGAAAAGGATTGGAATCAACGGTGACATCCCCTGGGGCAGCTTTTCAGATTTCACGTTGGCGTGGGTCTGGGTGCTGAGCTAGCCAAAGGTGCAAAGGGGATTTCTCCTCTACTCACCTCCCACCTTATCCCCTTTACCTTTTTTTTCCCCCGTTTTTTTTTTTATTGTGGTTAAGTACACATAATATTTATCATCGTAGCCATTTTTAAGTGTCCTTTTCAGTGGCATTAAGTACATTCATATTGTAACCATCACCTCCATCCGTTCATCTTGCAAAACTGAAACTCTGTATCCATTTAACAATAACTCCCCATTCTTCCTTTCCCCTAACCCCTGACAACCACCATTACACTTTCTGTCCCTGTGATTTTGATGACTACTTCAAATGAGTGAAGTCCTACAGTGTTTGCCTTCTTGTGACTGGCTTATATCACTTAACATAATGTCTTCAAGGTTCATCCATGTTGTAGCATGTGTCAGGATGTCCTTTTTAAAGCTGAATAATAGTCCATTGTATGTATAGACCACATTTTGTTTATCCATTCAACTATCAGCGGACCCCTTTACCTTTCAAAATACAGTCAAATCTATGGTAGAAAATACAATTTGAGTTTTTTTTTAAAAAAAAAGGCTATTTTGATCCAACTTGAATTTGTGGATAAACCATTGAGCCACCCAGCATCTTTTGAAGGTATGCCAAGACTGTGGATGCCCTCTGGAAATAGGAGTTGGGGGTGGATGGTGACCAGCTCGCTCTCATGAAATTATACTGTGTACCAGTGTCACGTAGGCCAAACATCTTCTGCCATGAATTGGAGCTGAGCAGAGCACTGTCACCACGCAGTCTGTGGTGTTTCCCTCTCTGTCCTAAGAAGTCCATTTGTGTCAGGAGGTGGGTGGAGCCCTAACCTGGGAGGAGGAGACACGGTCCAGGCTGCCCCTCCTCCCTGCCATCTCTACCTGGAGCTTCCCCACTACACTTAATGAGCCGTTTCATATGTGGTGGTTAATTACCCAGGAGGAATTTAACCGTCAACTGTCCTCAGATGTTAGGCCTGGGAAGATAGAATTGGGGGTTTGCATTTGACCTGGAAAGTACAAGAACTGCCACTAACCTGCCACGTCCAGGCAGCTTTTTGGAACCCAGCAGCTTGAAGCCTTGTTCAGAACCATTTACTCTACAGGGCCAAAGGCTGTCGCTTTCTTTTTCAACCGCTTCCCTCCCACCGCTTGGAAAAATGGCTGGGGCTGCATCTCATTTTTCAACCTTAGGGCGTGAACACAAATAGCTGCCAACTGCAAGCTGAACAAAGTGAGCCTCGCTCGTCCTTCTAAGATGAAGGCTCTGCATTCCTTTCCTCTGTCTGCCCTGCAGTGACTGGCACCAGCCTTTGGCTTGAAGGAATGGGGTTCGGGCCACTGGCACAGTAGTTCAGTTTCGAGTTCAAAGCAGTGTCATCTGGCCAGAGTAGATTACCTTCCAGTGACTGCTCCAAGCACAGGGTTCTGATCAGGCATAGTTTGTTCGACTTAAGGATGAGACAAGGACCTTGGGGAGCTGCCACGCCACTGGGTTTCAAACTACATGCCACATGCGGCCAGGCTCCACTCTGCTCCAGGCTCTTCTGTTGGCTGGGGTCCCAAAAAGCCTCCTTGAGACCACCGTAATTAGTCCAGTGTTTCTCAAAACTGCTTCATAACCCATTAGTAGGTCGGAAAATCAGTTTAATGGGTTGTAATCAACATCTTGTTTTTTTTTTTTTCTTAAATGAAATAACTTGGGGTAGAAAATATAAGATGCAATTTCTAGTAGAATGGGCACTGTGGCATGGCTTTACATCACTTTTATATGTAGATATGGGCACGTCGTGATTTAAATGGACTTTCACAAATGAAAACCAGAGAAGGAAGTGAGCTGCTCAAGGTCACCAGCCGGGGGGTGGTTGAGTTGGGACTAGAGCTATCCTCCCTCTGCCCCGCGAGGTGGTGGTTGCCAAGCACTTTACTGCCCATACCCGTGGGGCATTGCCGTCCAAGCAGAGGCATATCAGAAGAGGAAGAGGTAGTGCAGAATCCTACGGCCTACCTTCTGGGGCTGGGCCCAGACCTGACGCCTGGTATAAAACGGCTCCAAGCTCTCTCCAACTTATAAGTAAATCCAGACTTGTGGAACTGTGGCCTGGGCTGGAGCTAACGAAGCCTGGTGATCCAACCCTTTGGCTTGTGCGACAGGCCTGGATTCCAGTGTTGGGTTCCATACTACTTAGCTGGGTGACCTCAGGCAAGTACACTCATCTCTCTGAGACTAGGTTCTCTTATTAAGTGGAATGATCATACTTACTTCATAGGTGGTTGTGATGAATGAGATGATGCATTTAAAGTTCCCAGCACAATGCTGGGCATTTAAGCATTTAATAAAATGTTTATTACTCATTCAGATATGAGCAAGAAGCTACATCCCTGTGGGCATAATTGTGTGGGTAGAACATGTCTATACCAGAACATTCTAGCTTTGTTTTTATGAAATCCTGATTTGTCTTAAACTGTTAAGGGTCCTTGTGCAAGAAACTTAGAGACCACAGGTCCTTCCAGCCACACCTGTGCCGCACAGTGTAGAGGCTTGGAGGTAAACAGAAATCCAGCTCCTCTTCATGTGTAATGTATGCTTGGTGCTAATGATGGGCTTGTCAAGTGGGAGACGAGAACATTGGGACTGTATCAAGCCAGGGGAGAAGAAACAAGGGAAGCATGTGACAAGTGATATTCTAAGGCAGGCGGAAACTTGGGGACCCATGTCAGTATATAAAGAGCCACCTGTTTCATCAAGAACTTTCTAATAGAATGAATTATTTAATAGTAGGACAAGGGACTTACAGCGGGTGAATCTCTCTTCTTGGAGAACGTCAGGGAAAGGCTAGAAATCCATGCGTCTGACATGGTTAATGATAAAACCACACTTCCGGCAGAGGCGCCTGCACAGCTCTGCCACCTCTGATCAAGCTTGCTCCCAGTCTCACTGTGAAATCAGAGTAACAGTGCATGTCACCCACACTCCTAGTGGTTTTTCTGTTGCAGTACAAAATGATCTGTTTTAGGGAGTGGAAGAGGAAGCGGGAGAGAGGGTTTTAGTTCTGTGGTCTCACATGAGCTTCATGTAGAACGAGAAGATTTTCTTGCCTTCATGGTACCTGCCTGTCCTGCTCTATGTCTCATCTTTTATCAAGCATCTAGCCTTATAACAGCAGCTCTGAGGGAACTAAGGTTGTAAGTTATGGCTCCCTCCAGCCAGGAGCTTACAGTCTAGAAGTGAAACAAGCCTAAAGCAGTTAGAAAGCAACATATAATCTGATGCAAGTTTGGGAGGAGCCCATTGCTTCACAGAGGAGGTGAGATTTGAGCAGGGCCTTGAAGGCTGAGGAAGATTCAGATGGGTGGGAATATGGTAGAAGAATCCTGCCAGCCAGGGAGCTGCATGACATCTGGTACTGGAAGGAGTGATGACTTATTTTTCCTGTCCAGTGATTCAGGAAGAGACTTTCTCTCCTGGCTCAGACTCCAGTCCTGCTGTCCAGTCGTCTCTTTGTAGCGTGCTGGGAGGCCAGGTGTGTTTTTCACCTCATCAGACCACCTCTTCCCTGGCAGCTCGGAGGATGCATTCTCTCCATGTGTTTAGACCCATGTGGATAACAGCTTCTCAGACTCTTTATTCCACCTGGCTGCAGGCAGACTTGCCAGCAAACGCGTGATGCCCACAAACTTGCTGGCCTCCCGTGGGGCAGCCGGAGGATGTCTTTCCCTGCCTCCCTCATTGTTTCCGACTTCTTTCTAGCAGATAATTACAAGGGCATCTGCACCTTTGGTTTTTTGCAATTGCAGGTATCATAGAAAGTGTAGAGAAGGCCGGAAAGACTCTATCTGGTATCACAGTAAATGTTCCTTAATGCTGTGACTCAAATGTTTCGGCTTAGATCCGGAACGCCGCCCTGCACACCCTCCCGACATTCACTCGCTTAGCAGATTTTGCTGAACAGCCAAAGAGAGGATTCCCTCCCCAGACCGCCATTTGGAAGGTTAACTTTTTGGAAGAAGCACCATGGTTTTGCGGCACTTTTGTTAGTTCTGAGACAGAGTCCAGCCATCCATGTCCTATTATTTCATTTAGGCCCTCATCGCCTCTCACCCTCTCCTCACTGCCAGGCCCCAGCACCAGGTGGCATTTGCTTTTGAAGGTGAGTGGCGAGGGGCATGGGCTGTGGCCGGCTAGCGCACCCGTCGTCTTCTGAGTCCACACGGGACTCCTCACTTTTTGCATCTGCCAGCCGTGGTGACCTCACTGATTCGGGGGGAGGAACGCTGCCTGACTGCTCCGTCTGGGAGAATGGCGCGTGCCTGCTGGATCTGGAGATGAAGCCAGTGAGGTTTTACAGAAACCCATCGGGATGTTAGCTATCGAAAGAAATGCGCAAGTGGCACGTGTGCTGGCCTTAGAGGATGGAACGGAGCCGTCGTTTTGTCGACGTGACTTAGAACTCCAGAGGGACCTGGGCAGATTGGAGGGTTGTCGCAAAAAAAATAAATAAATAAAGATCCACCTCCCCGGGGGGGCGGAGCCCCAGCACAGCCCAGCGATTTCGCTTGCCTTAGTTTGTCGAGTGACTACAGTTTTGCGCAGCTGTCCTCAAAGGAAACTTTGCTGGCTTTTTCGATTAGAAGAATCACAACTTTTACCATCTTCCTGCACTTCGCCTACTTAAGTGGCCCAAAGACACACTTCACTTTGCAGAGAGGAAAATGGCAAAGGGACGAAAACACACAGTCCGGGTCTCAGGGACGTGTGGTGTGATGGGCCACAGGGCTCTTCCCCAGGAGCCCAAGCAGAGGGCAGCCCTTTCCAGCTGGGATTTTAGGCATCCAGCCTCTGGAGCCTGGGCACAGAACTCTTAGCCCTATGCTAAAATTTATGTGTGCCCAGTGTCAACCAAAGCCCGCCCAGCCAGAGAGGACGAATGCAGAACTGCAGGCCAGCAGTGGTTCTCACTCACCCTACCCTCAGGCTTCAGTGTGGCTGTCTATTTTTATCCTCCCTAAGAATTATGGCTCTCTGTGAGTCCGATTTAAAACGAAAATGAATCATTCAATTTGATGTGTGCTGCAGTGGCTAAGAAATATGTTCATTATCATGTACATAAAGCAGCGTGATGAATGCACTGTCTGGGGAGAGAAGCTCGTCCGCCCGTCACGGGCTCCCAGCCCCGCTCTGTGTGTCTGGCGTCTGTGCAGTCCTCTGTCTCCCTCCGTGGTGGTTCAGAGCAGCTTTGTCCTGGAGTAATTGTGAGGCAAATACCACTTAACCCAAAAAAGTGTGTTTGCGAGACGACTTGAATATGCAACGTTTACATTTTTTAAAAACACGTCTTCCTAAATCTCGAGTTCTCCTTCACTTCATTTATCTCATCGTGTTTGCATCAGAAAGACGCAGTGGTGCTCTCTGAAAAGATTTTCACTCCTTCCCCTCTCCCATGCCGCCAGCCCCATCTGGAAAAAATAGCATAGGATCGTAGGACTAGATGGAAGCTTGAGAAATGGCCTGGTTCACGCTCCTCTTGAATCATGATTACACTTATACGTGGTTCCCTGCCTCGTTACTAAAAATCCCACAAAGAAAGAATAATGTAAAACTTATCTTGGAGTAAAATGATTGTCTCAGGATCTTTCAGCTCTTTCTTAGTTCTGGTGCTTCTGCCTGAGAGCTGTGCTCATGTCCTTGGACTCAGGTCTGTCACAGAGTTCTCACCTGGGCTGCACATTACAGTCCCCTGGACGTGCTTAACGATTTCAGAAGCCAGGACCCCATCTCAGACTTGACACCTGACCCCTCCAACCTTTGACAAGGTTTCCCAGATGTTTTTTAAATGCATTCCTCCTCGAAACCATTCCCTGGAGGCAAGTGCTGGCCTCTGTATAAACGGCAGCCACTTGGTCGCATCCAGGCAGTGCTAGGACAGACGAGATCGTGCTCCGTCCTCACTTGGTGTCATGGCCCCAGCTCCGAGCCAGTGGGGAGGAATTATGTTCCCCTCCCTTCTGCCCCAAAGCTTAGCAACCTTCAGACCTGGGGCTGCCGCTGGGTCTGAGCATTTCCCTGGAGGCCCAGGACAGAGGTGGTGAAGGCACACATGGGGGATCTGTGGCTGAGCATCCTGCCCCTTTGCACTAGGAGCCCCTTCCTGAGTGTGAGTGCTGAAATCATGACAAATCCGGTGTTCATATACTACTTTATGAAGGCCACCCACAAACCTCGTCTCATTTGTTTGTCGCACTGACTCTTTCTTACTGAGATATAATTCATGTACTTTAAAATTCACCCTTTTAAAGTATGCAGTTCAGTGGTTTTCGTTATATTCAGAGTTGCACAACCATCACCACTATCTAATTTCATGGTATTTTTATGCTCCCGGAAAGAAACTACCTATTAGTTGTCACTACCTCTTTCTCGCTTCTCCTAGCTCCCGGCAAGCATGAGCCTACATTCTCTTTCAGTAAAATTGCCTGCTCTGGACACTTCATATAAATGGAGGTGTCCAGTAAGTGCCCTTTTGTGTCTGGCTCTTTGGGATGTTTTCAAGGTTCGTCCATGCTGTAGGCCTTCATTCCAGAGGAAACATGACACTGAAGTCCACCATTAAACCCACAAAAAAGTACTGATGCATGAGAGATAATGGTGGCTTGAATCAGGGTGGAACAGGACATTGATCCAGGCCCCTGCCATGCGAGTCTGAATCCAGAAGGAGCAGGGATGCAGTAAAGGCTGCACGTGCATTACACCCCTGAGGTCGCTGTGACTCCGTACAGGCCAGGGTCAGGACCACAGCTGGGGCCTAGTGACAGACGGGATTGGAGCCCTTCTTCTGCCATTAATGTGAAATGCATGGAAGAGCAGCCAGGCCCCAGGTTGGTTTAAAAGACTCTTCCAGGCCAGACTGTGAGCGGGAGAGGACATGTCCAAGGCCACCCAGTGAGGGTGGGAACGGCGAGGAAGGAAACGGTGGATTCATTCTGTAGGGGCAGGTGGCACTCATGGTTGGTCGTTCTCAAGAAAAAAATTTTTTTGGACTAGAACTATAGTCTGTAGTAAACATGTTACAAATATTTGGGAGCATTTTCGGGTATCTCAATGAATGGGGTGGTAGATAATGGTCCAAAGATGCTCCTGTGTTGTGTGGGACCGTCCCGCTCACTGGAATGAAAAATTATCCTGCCTCAAAGCCAGCAGTGTCCTCCTTGAGAAGCACTGCTAGAGAGAGAGGTTCAACACTGAGACGTCAACATATTGGTCAGGAAAATACCAGTTTTTAAGAATGTAGAAGTGACTCCATGTAAAAGTATCATGATGATAGGTGCTGAGAAGTTTGAAAATGTATCAGAAAGAGACCCGGGCTGGAGGAGGCTGGAATCTGATACGTATACAAAAAAATATGTAATGCAAGACAGAAAGCTCCGTGAGCCACATGAAACAGTGACAGCTGCAGGCCTGTGGGAGGGAAAGGGTTCCCCAGTGTAGATGACCTCCAGAGGATGTCCTGGACACCCCAGTGGGGAGAAAAATGGTTCCTCCCTCCTAAACTATACCAAAATGTGTACACAGTGTTATCGCTAGGGGTTAGGATATGGCCTCTTTTTATTTGCTAATGTATACTTTTCTGCATCCAAAAAAAAAAAAAAAGTTTTCAATGGATTGTTTTTGTTTTATAAGAGGAAAACAATCACTTAATGAGCAAGCAACATTCCAGGTAAGGCTCCCACTTGAGCAGCAGCAGCACAGAGTTCCATGTGCTTGGCAGAAACCCCTGTGAGTGGTTCTGCCTCTGGTCGGTCCCCTCAGAGGCGCCTCTGAACCCTTTTGTCCCCCCAGTCTTTCAGCCACGATTCTATAATTCACCCACACACTGAAATTCTCAGGACGGGGGGCAACGAGGGAAGCAAAATGGCACGGGATGTTTTTGCTGCTCTGAGAAGGGCTTTATACTAGAAATATTGATCCCATTTGCGATCACTCATGGCCATCATGTGGCCAAGAAGTAGGACATGTCACCTGAGATACCTCTTTTCCTCCAGGTGGGCCTACCATGACTTCTTCAACCGGTATCGGGTGCTGGTCAAGAAGAGAGAGCTCGCCAATGCAGACAAAAAGGCCATCTGCAAGTCTGTCTTGGAGAACCTCATCAAGGTGAGCTGGGCCCCCCACTGGGTAGCCGGGGCTCCATGAAGGGCTTAACCGGGATGCCTTGGGAATTAGGGGGATGGGGCGGGTTAACTGCCTTTTGGGGTCTTCATCCTTATTGCAACTGTTTCTGAGGTGTTAATCCATTTTCCTGTATCAGTGACTGTCCAGGAAAAGCCCCTTCACCTTCCTAGAGCACGTCCTAGCCTTTTTTTGCATCTCAGCCACGGGTAGAAAGTGAGATTATTTGTACCTCCCCCTGGGGTCCTGACAAGGCTGCTCCTGGCTACAGGCTGCTGGCCTGGGATCTCCGGCTTCTTCAAAGCCGGGGCTCAGTGGCTCAGCCCACCTGCCGCAGGGTGCACGGGGGCTCTGGTCTGGAGCCTGGCACAGCCTGGGCCAGTGGAGGGGAAAATAGCTGTGCTTCTCATTGCTTAGCCGGTTTGAAGCCCAACCTCAGATGCTGTTTCGAATAAGGCAGCAGGTTTTGTTTTAATGGAGACAATTTGAACCCACACCTGACACTTGAGACCGGAGAACTACAGAAGCAGAGCTATTGGGGTCCTTTTGTGATAAACATTTTATTAGTTCCAGAATATTCAGAGAGTATGGCAGAGTACGCTGCTTTAATGATCTCAGTAAAAGGTTAAATTATATCAAAAATCTTCTCTTTAAGAAGATAGATTATATCAAATACTAATTTTCAAGTATTATTTTGCCAAGAAAATCTGTTTATCTCAAGTAGCTCATTGCCAGATGGCTGGGATTTAAGGTCAAGTGTTATTTTGTAAAAGTGACGCAGTCACCCTCTGAACATTGTTAGCTACTCAAGTCTGTAGCTATACACAGTACAGAATATTGTGCTAAATATTCAGTAGAGAGTAGGAGGGTGACAGTCTCATTAATTGAAAGTCGTAGCCGGTTATTTGGATACTGGTTAATCGAGATTTTGCCATCGTGCATCTGAGTCTACATTTCAACATGTCATTGTTCATGGATGAGAAAAATCTGAGTTCCAGTTCAGCTCATTCCTGTCAACGTGGAGCATCAGGGGGCTTTCTCCTTATTAGTACCAGGAGCTGGCTTCTCAGTGTGTGGTCAAGATCACCACCTTCCTGGTAGAGTTTTCAAGACTAGGAAACGGAGCATGGGTGCTGTGGTTCCTGGGATGCAGCAGGCACCCCCAGACCCTGGCTTTGCTGAAGCCCTAGCAGCCAGGCTTGTCCCCTGACTGTGCAGACAGAGCTGCCACCTTCGCTTGTTGACTCTTCCTCAGTGAGAGGGACCTTCCCCCAGCAAGGCAGTGGTGAGCAGATGCAGAGTGAGAACCAGGCCTGTACCCTGCCCCTCCCGGCGGCCTCGCCTTGGGGGACATAGTGACAGTGTAGCTGGATGCCGTGTCCCAGTGGCAGCACCATCTCTGTGTGTGGAACTGGGTTCCTGTTAGCTGTGTAGGGCTTAAGCATTTTTTCAGAGCCATGTGTCGACATGAAACATATTCTTGTGCATGTGTGTTTTCCTTTGACCATGACCCATTACTTCCTCTTCTTACGGTCTTTGCGCCTATGAGCAAAGCCAGGTGGAAGTTTGTTTACCAAAAGCGCTCAGTGATCATTGGTTAACTATCAAGTGTTATATCCCAGGCTTGTCTACAAGCACAACTACTGGGTCATCCTTCCTTATCCACCAGGGTGAGTGCAGGGAAAGGGAACTAATTTTAACGTAAATAGATGTAATTAAGACAGTAATTACGTCCCCCCCCCCAAAATCTCATAACACAGTTTGAAACCAAGTAAAATTTATTTGGGGGACTTATTTGCAATCTGAAATTATGCAGTTAACTGTGTGGCCATTTGAGGATAATCTTTTAAAAATGTCAACCAGATCAGGTCATTCCCTTGCTCAGAGCAACCCCAGGAGCTCCCCCTCCAATACTGCGGCCTTTGGTGATGAGCTCTCCCACCGCCCACCCTCACTTCCCCACTCAGCCATCCCGGCTCTCCTGCTCCTCAAACATACACAGCTTGTTCCATCTACACAGGACCTTTGCATCCGCTCTGCTCCTCTTTTGAACTCTTCTCCTCCAGACTTTCTCATGGCTGCCTTCTTCAGTTCATTCAGGTCTTTGCTCAGATGTCACCTCTTTCAGGAGATGCATGCCTCCCTTGATTATCCTATTTAAACAGCCCCACCCACCCTCCAGCCCCCAGTTTTATTGTCTTCCTAATCCTCACCTGAAAGCATTCTGCTCCTTGGTTTGCCAGTCTGTCTGTCCTCACTTGTCAGTTGGCTGAAGGCCAGTATTTTGCTCACTGCTGCATCCTGGACGCCTAGCCCAGTGCCTGGAGGTAGATGCAGACTCAGTGACTGTTAAATGAATGCCAAGAGTTGGTGTCTTATCCCAGGAGCGGGGGCAGATGGGCTCTGACAAGGGAGCTCTGCACTGAGGGGCTGGGTGGTGAATGTGTCACCTCACTGCTCACCGATGACAAACCAGCTCCCCTCCCTGCCTTGCAAAGGACCCTGACAAGTTCCAGTTCGGCCGCAGCAAGATCTTCTTCCGGGCAGGCCAGGTAGCCTACCTGGAGAAGCTTCGGGCTGACAAGTTCCGGGCAGCCACCATCATGATCCAGAAAACTGTCCGGGGCTGGCTGCAGAAGCTGAAATACCGCAGGTTGAAAAGAGCTACCTTAACTCTGCAGAGGTACTGCCGAGGACACCTGGCCCGCAGGTGAGCCAAGCCGGGGCATGTCTGGGCGACAGATTGGGGATGAGGGCCAAGGAGCAGGGACTGGCTCTTGACTGTTGGCTTCTCTCAGCCTCCGTAATTAGAGTGGTTTCTGTCAGGCCCTGTCTGTGCCCTGGCTTCCTCAGCAGCTAGGCCCATCTCTCTCACTTGAGGGAGTGGATCTAGTTCCCAGGTCTCCTGGTTCCCCCAGTCTGTCCCCACCCCACCAGTGCTAGCCTAAGACTGGCTGGTTTTGCCACAAAACTACCATTTTCCTTTTATTTAAACTCCAAAATAAAATAGTCTTCTTGAAGTAAAAGGGATAAATTCAGCCTTTCCTTCACAGTGAACTTATACTCAGCTTCATGATTTATACCACCAATTTCAAACTTCCTTGGGAGTTTGGCAATCAGGGCCAGAAAGGTCCAGGACGTCTCTCTTTTGAGTTGTTGCATGGAGTCAGCACAGAGAGGGTGTAACTTGTAGAATTATAGGCAGCCACTTAGGGGCAGAGCCTAGGTGCCACTCAGGCTCCCTGCCCAGCCTAACGCCATGCAGAAGAAAACACTTTATTTTAAATGTTTCCCTCCTAACCGATGAAGCACTAAAACAGTCTGAGCATCTCCAGATGGGTATAGAGGACATGGCCTCTTCTTATTAGATCTACCCCAGGCCTTTTCCCAAGTCATCAAATTTTGGACCCAGCCCTGGTTCACAATCAGTGACCTCTGCAAATAAGAATTCTCTTGGAAAAGGGACAGTCACTTCTGCTTGAATATGAAAAAAACAGGAGAGCCCCTGAGTGACAAGCCCAGAGCAGGCATCCTTTGTCTCATAAACAGAAATTGCTCCTGCTCACCCTTGTGTTTTTGCAGTAAGTTGTTTATTTGAGCATAACCAAAGATGGTGAATGTCTTAATTACCTTCGAACAGTTGAGAGGTGATCTCTGGAACAAAAGCTATAGAAATGAGAAGAGTGTCAGTAACATCAACACTAAGTAGTCATCGACAGCCTGTGCCAACTAGTCATCACTGACTAGCCTGTGCCTGGGACTCTGCCTGAGGCTCGGATGATAAGGCTATAAAACAGAGCTGGCCTGCATTCTCCCTACAGGGAGTTTGTATTTCAGTGGATGTGCAGGGCCCACCTGTGGAGAGAGAACTGAGGGAGAGCTGGGCTGGGGAATCAGACTCATTTCGGTGGGCCAGCACGGCTGGGTGGGTTACCTCCTCCTCTGGGGCTGTGCTAGGTGATTTCTAAGTCCTTCCTAGCTTTTAATATTCTGAATCTCTAACTGAGCATTTGCTATGAGTCTGGCACCAAACAAACCCCTTAACGAGGGTAAGAAGTGTTAGGCTGATGTTCTGTCTTTTTGGGGTGCATGATGGGGAATGAAGAAGTGAAACAGGAACGTCGATGTCCACGTGCAGTGCGTCTCTGCAGGAAGGGCTGGGGAGGTGAAGGAACAGGGACGGATCAGTGCAGGCCTGAGAAGGTTTTATCCGTTCAGTAAATATTTCTCAAGCACCTACTAGACAAGGCCCTGTGCTAGATGGAGGGGGCTCAATGATGATTGAGACATGGCCCCTGATATCTCCAAGCCTAGTGAGGTCCAAGTGGCAGACAGGGCTGTAAGTATGTGATGTCACTGAGGACTGCTCACTGAGGTTGCAGTGAGGGGTTTGCAGGTGGGGAAGTAGGCAGATGAGGGTCGCAGATGAGTGGCCAGACTTGGACTGTGTTTTAATTTTGTGGAAAGATATTTTTGGACAACAAGAGAGAGCTATTTCTGCTGTCCTGAGCCTGACCATCAAATGCACAAGACTTTGCTACAGTCGGTCAGGGTGATGAGGGTTGGCTGGCCTGGAGGAATCCTGGCAGGGCCAAGGGGGCAGGGACTTGCATTCATGACTGGCTCAGAGGCTGCTGTCAGCATGGCCCACCCACTCTCTCCCTCCCCAGGCTGGCCGAGCATCTGCGGAGGACCCAGGCAGCTGTGGTGTTTCAGAAGCAGTACCGCATGCGGAGGGCCCGCCTGGCATACCAGAGGATCTGCAGGGCTGCCATCGTCATCCAGGCCTTCACACGGGGCATGTTTGTGCGGAGGATCTACCACAAGGTGTGTGGCCACCCCCAGATTCACAGGCTTCAACTCAGAACTAAACCTTCAGCAAATGGATTGTCACCAGCATGAACGTTGGCTTCTCCTAAAATTTTTCTAAGTAATTTCACAACTTTGCTCTCACTAAATCCTATCCAGAGTCCCACGAGGTGGTATATTAGGGTTCTCTAGAGAAACGGAACTAATAACTGTGTGTGTGTGGAGATTTTTCATGAGGAATTGGCCCAGTGATTATGGAGACTAAGAAGTCCCATGATCTGTCTGTAAACTAGAGACCCAGGAAAGTGGTGGTATTTTCAGCTCCAGTCTAATGGCCTGAGAACAGGGGATGGGGGGGCGGGGCAGTAGTGTAAATCCCAGTTCGAGGGCAGGAGAAAATGAAATGTCCCAGCTCAAGCAGTGAAAACGGGGCGAATTCCTCTGCCTTTCGTTTTGTCAGGCCCTCATCAGACTGGTTGGTGCCCACCCACACTGGGGAGGGCAGTTCACTCTACTGAGTCTGCTGAGTCGAATGCTCACCTCTCTGCAAACACCCTCACAGATACACCCAGAAACAGTGTTTAACCTGGGCACCCTAGGGCCAGTTGACACATAAGATTAACCATCACAGGTGGGAAGGGTACGTACTCTTATACCCCTTTGAGAGCTGAGATGCTTGGAGAAGCTGAGTCACCACCCTGAGGGCACTCAGTCAGCCCGTGGCAGAGCCTGGTGGCCCATTTTGGGCTCACTCAGACTTGAGACCAGAGCTGACATTAGGTATCATCAGGTCTAGACTCTTATTTAACAAAGTATTTAACCTGAAGCCCAGCAAGGCGAGGTCAGGAGAGGGCCTCTGACCCTCTCCCTGCCAGCCCACTATCAGGCGAAGCTTCCTGGTTAGGTGGCCCCGAGTTAGGACACATCCCTCCCACCGAATCACCCAACCGAAGCTCAATGCTAAGACGAAAGATAGATTGGAAGGAAATGTCTAAAATGGTTTTTTGTTTTTCTAAAATGGACATCTCTTATGTGATCAGAAAAAGGTATGATTTTCTAAACGATAAAACTAAGGTATTAAATTGATCATAAAAAACAAACAAACAAACATTGTCAGGCACCAGGATGCAGCACACCCTGCTGTAATAGGCAGAGAAACCCAAACCGGTGGGCAAAGTTTCTATGACTGTTCCTGAGAGATCGGTGACAGCTATGTGACGTCACCATGGAAGGGGCAGGTGGCATTTGGGAAGCACTAGGTTTGAACCAGCACCATCTCAGAGCTGTGATACTGGGCATGCTAGTGTCTCAGGGTGTTTGCTTATTTATTCATTTATTCCACAAACGTTTGTTTTGTAGGGTGTTAGGGCGAAAACATGGATAATGCTTTAATTTTTCAAGTGGTTTGTAGCATGGCCAGTTAGTTACAAGCCAAATTTGTAATTATAAGCCATTATTAACCCATTGTGGACTCTCACTGAAGAATCTCCCTTTATTGCTCCAGCTTCCCATCACCAAGACAGGATCCAGATCTGTTTAATGGAGAGATATCAGCTGGATAATCTTCAGGATTTTCCAACTTCTAGGTCTTTAAATGGTGGTTCCCTAACCAATAAAACAAAAAGTAAACAAACAAACAAACAGCTAATTTCCCACAGGCACACAGGCTGCAAACCTAGTAAAAACTTGTTCATAAAGCAGATGGCTCTCAAAGCCATAAGTCTTAGGGAGGCTTATTCTTTCCATATCTCCTAAAACTGAGGGCCGTGGCTCTCACCTCCCCAAGGCAGTGTGTGAACCTCTCTTGCATCCTGCAGTGCAAACCCACCAGATGTGTGCTTGTCCCCTGCCAGGTCCTCTGGGAGCACAAGGCCACCATCATCCAGAAGCACACGCGGGGCTGGATGGCACGCAGGCACTTCCAGCGGCTGCGGGGTGCTGCCATTGTCATCCAGTGTGCTTTCCGGAGGCTCAAGGCCAAGCAGGAGCTGAAGATGCTCAAGATCGAGGCCCGCTCAGCAGAGCACCTGAAGCGTCTCAACGTGGGCATGGAGAACAAGGTGGTCCAGCTGCAGCGGAAGATCGACGACCAGGTGGGTATCAGGAGCTCCCACCTGGTGGTCAGGGGCTGTGGGGTGCTTCAAGGATGTGTTTGAGAGAGACCCACGGCTTCCTTGGGAACTGCATGTGCCAGAGACCCGGGATAGTGCACATCTGCAGGGTGTCACCCCACTCGGCAGGATGGCTACTAACTGTGGAAGGCAGAATAACAGCCCCAAAGATGTCCACATCCTAATCCACAGAGCCTGTGACTGTATTACCTTACATGGTAGAAGGGACTTTGTAGATGTGGTCAAGTTGAGGACCTTGAGATGGGGAGATTGTCCTGGATCATTTGAGTGGGCCCAGTTTATTCACAAGTGTTCTCATAAGAGAGAGGCAGGAAGGTCAGATTCAGAGAAGGAGATGTGAAGGCAGAATCCGGGGTTGGGGTGATGTGCGACCTTGAGCAAGGAATGCAGTCAGCCTCTAGTAACGAGAAAAGGCAGTAAAACAGGTTCCTCCCTGGAGCCCCCAGGAGGAACACAGGCCTGCTGCCACTTTTAGACGTCTGACCTCCAGGACTGCAGGGAAATAGACTCATAGTGTTCCAAGCCACTGACTTTGTGGTAATTCGTTACAGCAGCAAGAGGGAGCTAATGCGTTAGCCCTCAGTCACGTTTTCCTGCCCCTGTAAAGGCAGCATGGTGTGATGATAATCAATAGTCGGCATTTATGGCTCACTGCGTGTCAGGCGCTGTCAAGTCTTTTGTCCGTATTAACTCTTTTCATCCTGTCAACAGTAAGTTAAATGGTATCGTCCTTCTTTGTTTTTGTTTTTTACTAGTGAGGAAACTGAGAGGGCAAGTGGCTTCCTCAAGTCACAGAGATGACAGTAGTGGGGCCACAATTCCGACCCCAGCGGTCTGGCTCCAGAGCCTGTGTCCCTCCGCCTCTCTGTCGTGTCATGTGGTGGGAAGAGCACACGCTGTGGAATCAGAAAGAATCCAAATCATATTCAACTCAAAAAGTCGAGCAACCGATTTAACCTCTCTGAGCCTCAGTTTTCTTATCCGTAAAATGAGACCGATGGGGCTGTAAGAAGATGAGGTGATCTGATGTGTACTGAAGGGCGTGGTATGCGGCAGGATCCTCAGGAAATGGTTATCGTTGCTATTATACTTAGGCTCTTTCCTCTTTCCGCCCTGGCCACCTTCCCGTATTGGTGAATCAATCACACAAGTGTCAAGTCATTGATCAAGTCCCTGCAGGTGTGGGGTACTGTGCAGGGCACTGTGAGGGATCCGAGACAAGCACAGGACCCTCGGCGCCCTCCAGCAGAAGGACAGCGCGTGCACGTGCGCATGGGCACACCCGTACACCCACTGCGCGGTGGCCCCCGTGGCCAGTCTTCCCTCTCCTCTTCAGAACACCTTCACTGTTTCTGGTGCTTTGTTAGGCTTGGTGAACAGAGAACAACTTCAACATGCATTGGATGTCCGAGTGTGAGGGAGCACCCAGCATCCTGATGATTCCCCGAGCACCTTGCATGGGCCCTGCGAGAGGTGTTTTACGTTTCCTCTCATGTGATCCTCACATAATTTCATGAGGTCATTTTACAGATGAGGAAATTGTGGATCAGGGACATCAAGTCCCTTGCCAAGTTTACAGAATTAGACTGTGCTAGAACCGGCCTTTCAAGCCAGGGCCGCCTGATCCCACAGTCGTCATGAGGGCGATGTTGGTTTCCAGAGCTGGAAGTGGGCTCACTGTTACTTCACTCATGCAGGGTATTGAGATGACCAAAGGACCAGACTCCTCCAGTGCCTTGAGGGTTTCAGGTGCCTCCTGAAAAGGCAAAGGGGAGAAGGAGGAGAGGGATGGAGAGAACCAATGAGGGTGTGTGGTGTGGGGCTGTGGAATGTTAGAGTTAGGGCCATCAGGCGTCGCCTTGGAAGTCACTTGGTTTTATTGTACCTATTGTATGCTGAACATTTTTAAAGCTTCTCAGGACCCCAATAGGGCAAGAAAAGTAAATGAGCCATTTTATATAGCAGCCAGCTACCCAGAACAAGAGATAGCTGTAAATATTCCTGCTTCTCTGTTTTTTGCAAAAGACCAGGACTCCTGAGAAGAAACCATCCTTGGATGTTTCTGTTCTCTGTGTGTGTCCTGCAGGGTGTCTGGATTGGCTTGGTACATCCACTTGGGGGGACAGGAGTATACAAAATGAGATCTGGTCTCTGGGGCTGGCCATTTGAAAAATGCAAGCACAAAGATGACCAAGTTTTTTATTATTATTTTTGTGGCTGTTGATATCTGACCAGTAAAGATATGTAGGTAGTCAAATTTTGCCAGTTAACCTTCTGAGCAAAGTATAGCCAGAGGGACAAGTAGGCTTTTTCAGCACCACTGCACCCTGCCAGGAGCCTGCGTGCCTCCCGGTCACCTCAGCTCTGGGTTTGCAACCAAAGGGCCCTGCACTGGCTTTGCTGATTTCCAAAATTGACTTGAAAGGTTAAAAATAGATCTGGTATTTTACAATCCATGTGCTTGAACATCAAAGAGAAGCAGTTTTAAAAGGTCTATTTTTAAAAAGAACTTTTTGCCTTAAGCTTCCTGCTTGGCAAACATCTGTAAGTGGTGGCAGGTGCTACCCACCCTGGGCAGGGTGCCTGTGCAGAAAGGGCGTTCAGAAGGGGTGGGAAGGGTGGATTCGATCTTGCTTTCTTGCACCCTTTTCCACGTTTCTAGACTATGTGCTAGTCACGCTTCTCGTCTATGAACTTCTTTAATACTCACCACAACCCTATGAGATAATATTATTCCCATTTTCAACTGAGATACAGAGAGGTTTAGTAGCCTGCCCAAGGTCACACAGTTACTAAGTAACACGACTGGGACTAAAGTTTGGCAGTCCAGTTCCAGAGCATGATCTGCCACCTGTGACCAATTTGTAAGGTACCTGCCCATTGGGAGATTCTTGGGACATCTGAGAATTCCTCAGTTCAGGGGAGACTCTTACCCTTATTTTAGGTTCGTTCTCATACAGACAACATCATTTTTGGACTGGCTTGTCTTTAACAATGGGGCGTGTGACCTGGTGTCATAGAACACACTTGGCCTCTGTCATTAGAGGAGGTATCAGCATAATCTATGGCACCGGCTCTTCAGAGATTCTTGATTTATTGCAGTCTCTTAGCAGAGGGGGCCAGCCATTTGGAAATGAATGGGTTTCTGTTTTTTTTCTGTAATACTTGAAGACAAGTCATGCTGCTACCCTGACACCCAAAGTTTTTAAGCCAGAAGGAGAGGATACACTAATGCTAGGGATGACATAAGTGAAGGCATCTCAAAGTAATTGTCATAGTAGCACAAGATAGTGGGCAAAGTCCCAGCTGGATGGAGGCCTGAGTTCTTTCTCAGTCATGCTTGCACAGAGCTGTCAGCTTGGGATCATGGCCAGATCTCCAGTTGAGCCTTGAGTTTTTCAAAGGGGATTGGCCTAAGAGATCTAAGGTAATTCTTAGCTCAGAAACACACTGATACCCTTAGGTGGCTGAAGGAGTGGTTCCCAACTCTAAACAGCACTGTAGACTCACGGGGAGGGGCT